TGGTAGCAGGCTAAGCTAGGCTAATCTCCAATGTGCGTTAAGTTTTCTCTTCAAAATGAGTTCCCATGATCGTCAGAATGTGACTGAACAAGATTTCACAAGCGAAGAGAAGCAGATGACATCACTGATAAGAGAGGAAAGACTAATTTGCTGGTTTGGAAGTGGTTCGGCTTTCTACAATACGATAAACTGCAGGTTTCAGTCAGTGAGCTGCAAAATGTGACGGAGAGTCGTTCTAACTAGTGGTTGGAACATCGAACTTGTTCCACCTGACAGAAGATAATGAGTCACAAGATGAAGCACAATAAAACTTGAGCCAACATGTCCCTGAAACACACCCAGCGCTGCAGGTTGTTTTGTTTGTTTTTATCATTTATTCATTCATTTAAAATAAAAGAAATACATCATAAAGAAAAAAACATTGAATGAAAAGGTTGAAGAAAGAAGAAAAAAAATTCTTATCTGCCCCTAATTTAAAAAATACAAAATAACTACAAACAAACAACAACCTTGACTTGAACAATCTCCAAACTGAAAACAAAAAAACTTCAGGGATCCTTCACCTGGTCCTAAACCTTCACAACAACTTTAACTATCATTTTTTAAACATATAAATTGTTTTAGAAATGTTTACGGTGATATCAAGACAATCCATAATCCTGTTCCCTGAATTACAACACGGCTCCTTCAGACCAGTTCTAAATGAGGTTTTACAAACATTTACATTCCCTTAAGTTATATTGACTCTCCTTTTTTAATATTTATTTTTTACAAATTTTAATTGAATATTTTGGGCTAATATTTTTATGAGCTTTATACGTGACTTGTAAAATACTATATTCAACCAAATCATAACATTTTAATAATTTCAATTGATGACATAATATATTTGTTGGGTGACCATAGCACTTCATAATACTAATAATTCTTATAGCTCTTTTTTGTAAAAAAATAAAAATAGGATTTGTAATTGTTTTGCATGCTTTTCCCCAAACTTCATTACAATAGATTAAATATGGAACAATCATTACATTATACAATATATACAAAGCTTTTTCATTCAAAAACTCTTTTACTTTATACAGTAATGCAACTGATTGTTATTTTTATTTTTAAGTATTTTACATGAGATTTCCATGTCAGCTTCTTATCAATAACGACACCCAAAAATTTTATTTCATAACAATGATTTTCAATGCTGTCAATTTTAAAGTAGTTGTTGTTTTAAAGTCAAAACTATTAATATTGACAAAGTTGAGAATTTTATGTTTATTTGACAGTGATTTCGATTTTTTTTTGAAGGCTAAATAAAAATAAAAGGTGAACATTAATTTATTTGTATAGTTTTGTAGTTTTTCTGAGGCTTTTCTATTGTTTATATCGATATCGAATTATATCGTTATCGACCGAAATTAAGAGATATATCGTGATAAAAGTTTTGGCCATATCGTCCAGCCCTAGGCTGACGTCAAATGGATACAATAAAGCAGCACATTATCACATAGGTGTTGTATTGAGATCTGTTCACCACCTAGGTAGGAGATTTTCAACCATCAGAATGTTTTTCTTCTGCTTCATCAGACAAAAATGGGCCAATATAATTAAA